TCCAGCAGCAATCCCATTTTCCTAGTTGGTCTCCCATCCAAACACTGGCCAGGCTCAAACTTGCTTAGCTTCAGGTATATTATCTAGTCTGAACTGCAGCTGGTACAGCTACTGACGATAGCACTGTTTGGGACTGAAACTCTGAAGCATCTGCCATGTGCTGTGGGGGTTTCTTCTTTCTTCTGGGAGCTCCGGTCCCTCCCATAGTCTGAAAATGCTCAGTTAGGCTAAACTGGCACCTTGATATTGTCCTTATTCCAACCATGGAAATACCAGTTAAAAGCATTTAACAAATTGTCAGTTTTTCATTGGCAAAAGGCAATTTTTACTTTTTAGTAGCGAGATTTAATAGGGATTGAATCTAGCATAAGGCCTAACGTTCTTTCATAGTTGGGGAAATATTATCAAAAATATTGCTTCATAATGCTTTCATATTATGTCATATTTTTTTAAATAAATCGTGCGCATTTTGCGGGATCCGCCACATCATCCAAGACCTGTCCGAGAAGCGGCTGGAGATGGCCAAGGAGCTGGGAGCCGACTTCTCCATAACAGTTCAGAGGGAGGACTCTTCCTGTGACCTGGCCAAGAAGGTGGAGAGCCTGCTGGGCGAGCAGCCGCATGTAGCCATCGAGTGCACCGGGGTGGAGGCCAGTGCCCAGGTGGCCATTTATGTGAGTGTGGCCCGGCGTGCCAAGATGGAGAGCGGCTTTCTGAGCAGCATCTCTCTTTCAAAGCCTTCAGCCTGGCCTTTTGTTGTTCCATTGTGGCTTTGGTGAGCAGGGCTAGGGTTAGGCTCACCAAAGATACAGCTATACAACCTGTATCTCTCACATGGCAAAAATAAATCAAGCTGCTGGATATATGAAAGAAAATTTTCGGGAAAAAAATTGTTCTTTGTTTTGCTCATCTATACGCAATACATAATGATTTGATTTTTTTATTATAGGATTGTTTATTGTCAATAAGCTTGCGCTCACAACTTTCAGGAGTCAAAATAAATATCTAGAGATTAGCCGTGAACTTCCTTATACTCTGTGACTCACCAAAACCTACTGCCCTATAAATACAATTCCAAAACAATCAGTTTCCACGTCAGTATGTTGTAGGTTATAAGGAAGTTAAGATCTTCAGATCATACAGTATTTGTTTTTATTCTGGGAAAGGTTGCAACCCCAAGTCAAACATTCACACCATAGTGTAAACACATATCGGTTCATCCTTAAGAGTGCTGCCCCAGAAAGTCTTTTGACTGTTTATTGGGACATGTTTTGATCCATCTGACGTCACCAATTAAAGCCAAAATCCATCCGCCGTCCAGCTGCTTGTTCCTGGCAGGCCAGTGGGGGTCCTAGGCTTGTCCCCAAGAACACAACATTTTGCAAGGGAAGCCAGTCTGTCACGGTGCATATATACACACTACGGCTAATTTAGGGATGTGGACTGATGTAGCTGTATGTCTTTGCGGTGGGAGTTCAGAGTACCCATAGGAATCTACACTCTACACACTGGAAAACCAAGTCTATTGCACATACAGAGGAGAGGTGGGATTCAAACACCCAGCTTGGGAGCCCCATGCAATGCTACAGTCCAAATAAAGGCTGTTTTAAAGGCCTACTTTGAATGGCAGATATTCAGAAGAGGAACAATGACTGCTCAGCTCTGTTTATTGTCTCTAAGCTGTCAGGCGATGCGCCCTGGTGGAGATGGTGACCCTCGTGGGATTGGGCTTGGAGATGGTGGTTATCCACAGCCCCCACTAAGGCCTTTCCAAGCCGCTGTCACAGCATGCTACCACTTCAAATTAAGTATTTCGAGAGAAATGTTAAAGATTGCAACGTTTTACATTTTCTAGTTTACCATTAACGTGTGGGTTGGGTTGTCACCCGCTCATTCCTTTTCGGGTGGCCTGTAGCCATCGCTATGTTGGATTCCAAGAAGGTGAATGTGAAGCCGCTGGTGACTCACCGCTTCCCCCTGGAGCAGGCGGTGCAGGCCTTCGAGACCAGCCGGCAGGGCCTGGGCGTCAAAGTCATGCTCAAGTGTGACAAGAATGACCAGAAGGTGTGGTACCTTCTGATTGGAAGCATGCCAACATAACGCCCATTTTCAAAAAAGGGGATAGAAGTAATTTGTCAAACTATAGGCCTTAGAAAAGGTGCAGCGCAGGGACACAAGAATGATTCCTGGTCTTAGAGGAATGTCATACGAGGAAAGGGTAGTTGAGCTAAATCTGTTCAGCCTCAAGCAAAGGAGACTGAGGGGGGACATGATCCAGGTCTATAAGATTCTAACAGGTTTGGATGCTGTTCAACCGAATAGTTACTTCAGCATTAGTTCAAATACAAGAACTCGTGGCCATAGGTGGAAATTAGCGGGAGAATATTTCAAACTGGATTTAAGGAAGCACTTCTTTACACAGCATGTAGTCAGAGTATGGAATAGTCTTCCTGATAATGTAGTGCAAGCTGAATCCTTGGGTTCCTTTAAATCAGAGCTAGATAAGATTTTAAAAACTCTGAGCTATTAGTTAAGTTCTCCCCAAGCGAGCTTGATGGGCCGAATGACCTCCTCTCGTTTGTATAGTTCTTATGTTCTTAGAACCCTTGAGGAGCAGAGATCCATCACTGGGCGGAGCAGAAGCCGTCACAGAACCCTAAATGCATATTCTCTCCACCGAATCCTAAATCACAGTTTCCACTATAAAAAAGTCAATTATACTGCAAATGCTAAAAATTATGATACATTTATGCATGCTTTGAATTCTGGAAGATTAGCATTTTAAATGGGCAATTTCTCTACAAAATAATCCAATCTAGGAATCTGCTCAAGAAAAAAAAACAATTAAGCAAATTGCTGCCCTGAAGTATATGGAATCTTGGAACTCGAACGCCTGGAACTCGACCAACTTGGACATCGAATGGGTAAAGCAAACAAACCTACTGGGATGCTGATGCCCATGAATCGCTCTCAGTCTCATGGTACCTCTCGACTGAGTTTGAAGTGCAAAAGTATTGTTCCTGTGTTCAGTGTGAATTTTTTGTGTTTCATCTACAATACATTTAGTGACATCATGGCCCCTAAGAAAGTGAGCAGTGATAGCAAACCAAAGAGGAAAGTAGTAAGAGTAACTTAAAAAGGAAATTATAACGAGACTTGAAGGTGGTGCACGTGCGTCTGCTCTTGCTTTGGAGTGTGGGATTGTCATTTCACGATTATCACTTTTTTGTGTGCCTTTTCACGTGTGTATTAGTCTTATATTGATTGTTAATGCTTTTTACCATTACTTATAGGTAGATAAGAGATTCGACCAAATCTCAACTCAACCAGCCTTCTGGAACAAATTACGTTTGTGTTCTAAGGCACCATTGTATTGCAATTTTGTACTGCTTCTCAAAACACAAACATGTTACAGGCTGTGTAAAACTTAATAATTTGTTAAGTATCATGTGTCAGCAAAATTATTGCAGTCATAACACCTCTTAAAATGATTAGCAGTGATCAAATTTCAACTGGGGGGACAGACTGGGGCCAGCTGTTCTGCTAGGGGGCAGATGCATTTGACCTTAATGTCCTTCAAATATTACTTACACTATATTCCCAGCATTAAGAAGCAAAAGACTATTATGAAAACCATTATTTATGCAATGCTTTGCAGTTACATTTTACAGTTTTTGAAAATATGTAACTCACTCTGATTTCTTGTTTAGAGTTTAGACTTGCTTCCACAAGAGATGCGCGGATCAGCTAAAATGTCACCCGAATCCGCGGCTT